GAGGACCAGACACGTTCACTGGCAGCAAATTCTCATCTCTTGCAGTGACCAAGGTCCCCTGTTCCCTCCAGAACTGGCAAGCCGACTCCAGACTCGGGGGGGCTGAGGCCGCCGGCTCAGCCGCAGGAAGTGGGAGGCTCAGGTGGCCATGCAGGTGAGGGGCTCATGGAGCCACTGGCAGCCGCTCTGACCCTGGCTGACCTGGGCAGGTGTGAGTCCAGACTTGCTCCCCTTCAGCTGTGGCTACCCTGCACCCAGGCAAGTAGGAAGCCGGTTTCTGCTCCAGGGCTGGGGGCCGGGGCCACCACTCTGGCTGGTGCTCCTCCCAGCTCACCTGTCTCTGCACCTTTCCCCACAGGTAACCAACCCTCTAACCCACAGACAAGAGGATGAGAAGATGAAGGAAGATTGCCCCGTCCAGCTCCCACGTGCCCATCAGCGACAGCAAGTCCATTCTGAAGTAAGCCCTGGAGTGCGGGGAGGCTGTGCACCCCGCACCTCGTGCTGGGCAGACTGTGGGTGGAGGGCTCTGGGGCCCAGCTCACAGACCTGACCGTGTGCCCTGGGCACAGGGCGTGGAGCTTCTGTTTGGAGCCCATGTCTTACAAGGTCAAGGTGTTTCAGGGTTTGACTCCCATCTCCGGGGCAGGAGCAGGACTCTGCATGGGTGGCGCTGAGCTCCTTAAACACTAGAGCAGCACTCACGTTCAAGTTCATGTGAATCATTTGAGGATAAGAAACCCCAGATAGGTTGTGAGTTTGGAATGAAAGCAGCGGATTTGATTGATGGGATGACTTTTTTTTTTTTGGAGGGAAGCCCCTGCATCCCCTGACTGTACCTCTGGAAGGTCAGGCTCCCCGCCACGGGGTCCCCACACCAGGCAGTGATGGGAGGAGAAGCCAGAGTCTCGGACGTGTGTGAGCCAAGCCCAGGGGACTTCCACTGAGGAAGTGACTCGGAGGTGAATTCAGGGAGTTCTTGGGGACTCCCGTGTATAACAGAGAATACGTGCACACCCTCGGTGTCCTCCTGGGAGGGGCTTGCTTCTCCTTCTCAGCCCCCCCTACACCTCCCAAGAGAGGACCCGCCCAGAACCTTCTAGAAGATGGCAGGTGTGTGGCTGGTGTGGCCATGTTACAGATGAACAAACCGAGGCCAGGGCGTCTGAGCCCCTTGCACACCTCCCGAGCATGCGGTCTGTCTGTCCTTTGCAGGTCAGAGCTGCTAGGCCTGCTGAAAACCTACAACTGCTACCATGAGGGTAGAAGCTTCCAGCTGAGGCACCGGGAGGTGAGCCCGTCGCTCTTGGGGTTGGTGGGTCACCGTGTACCCTGATTTGCCGTGACAGCCCTGGCCTCGTTGTTATGGGGTCCCTGGGCAGCCCGACCCTTCGCTCTCAGAACTTTGCATGACAAGTTACGTGATTGCCATTGTCACTCAAGCCGTGGGCCAGGGACAAGTGACCAGCGCCGGGGCAGGTGGGAGCATCCCTTGGAGTAGGTGGACTTTCTCCCTGCACCTGGGACCTTCGTCCAGGTGGATTTCTGGAGTCTGAGATCCTACGGGCTGCATAGCCCAGTCTTGCCTCCCCCCAACATGCCACTCCGAATAAGGACAAGGAGGGGTTATTCCTCCTACCTGCCCAGCCAGGGGTCCCGGACCTTGTCTCCTGTGTCCCCTGTAAGTGAGGTACTGAGCTACAGGAGGATGTGAGCTCAGGTACCCACAGGGCCAGGCAGGGCAGGTGTCGTGGAGTGGGTGAGATGGCGGCCACTCCTCCCAGCACACCCATTGCTACTGGGCAGGAGTGTGGGCCCAGTATAACCAGACCCTTTCTAATCTCTCAAAAGAAGCCTGGTGTCTGGAATTTCATGATGAATTTCCCAAATCCCAGGACACCACGTGGGCCAAACAGAGCATGTCCAAGGTCCTGGGGCACCAGGCAGACTCCACCGAGTGTCAAGAGGGCCCTGGGCTTGGGGAGCCTCCACTGTCTCCCACGGGAGCCTGGGACAGGGTCTTGTGCCCCAGTCTGGGTCTACGCTGATGTCTTGCCGTGGCCTTGCCGTGAGTTTTGGTGTCGTAACTGTAGGAAGGTTTTACCGGGTGTGTGTGGGGGTGTCTCCATGGCTGAGATGGCGTTGGTTCCCGGATGCGCCCTACCCATGAGTTTGGCCTTCCAGTTCCCCTTCTTGACGTTTAACTTGGGAGTGGGCGGTTCAGGTTCTGGGAACCCACTCACTCACTACTTCTCCCTCTCTTCTTCGGCACAGACCAGGGTTAGCCCGGGACCCCAGGAGCTCCAGGCAGCTGGCATGGCCAGCCAGTGGCAGGGGGGCCCCGTGCTCTGGGTCAGCCCCCAGAGGCACCCCGTCAGCCAGCCATAGTCTGCCCAGCTCAGGAGCTCTGCCCGCCCTTGGTCCTCTCCTCCCCACTGGTACCACTCTGAAGTCGCCTTCCTGGTTTCCTTCTCTGCCACATAGCTCCCCCTGCCTCCCCAGCCCCCCATTCCAGCCCAGTCTGCCCTGGCCCTGACCCTCCCTATTCCTCCCTCCCTGTACTTATCCCACAGCCAACTTCTTCCGCACCAGACTGGTTGATTCTGCCGTCCCTTTTCTTACTTGAGCCTCAGAGCTGGGCCGAACCTGCATACTACGTGTGCTCCAGGCAAGACATGTGGTACCCGTGTGGTGTTGCTGGGTGGGTAGCCAGCAGGTGCAGGCCTGGTGACTTGGGATGTTCTGAGTCCTAAGCTCAGGTGGGCACCAGGGAAGGGAGGGAGTGGCAAATAGGTCCAGAAGCGATCTTGATTTTGTTTTTATTATTTTTTATTTGAGGGGGAGAGGAGAGAAAGAGAGGAGAGAGAGAGAGAAAGAACACTCCTATTTGCTGATTCACTTCTCAAATGCACAGTGGTCCCAGGCTGAGCTGGGGTCTGAAGCTGGGATTGGAACTCGATCCAGGTCTCCACGTGGATGCCTCCCAGGGTACATTAAAGGAAACTGTAGCTGGAATCCAGAAGCAGGGACAGGACCCACATGCTCTAATGTGGCATGTGGGTGGGTGTCTTAACTGCTAAGCCAGAGGGTTTTCTTTTCTTTTAAGATTTATATTTATTTATTTGGAAGCAGAGATATAGACAGAGAAGGAGAGAGAATCTTCCAACTGCTGGTTCACTCTCCAAATGGCCACAATATCTGGGGCTTGACCAGGCTGAAGCCAGGAGCCAGGAGCTTCCTCGGGGTCTCCCGTGTGGGTGCAAGGGCCCAGGGACTTGGACCATCCTCTGCTGCTTTTCCCAGACCATTCGCCGAGAGCCAGATGGGAATGGTACTGGGACTTGAACTGGCGCCCATGTGGGTGCTGGTGCTGCAGATGGCGGCTTTACCACAGAGCCAGCCCTGCCGGAGGGTTTTTGATCTGGTCTGTGCTGCTGGGGGAGGAGCTGGTGCCCGCTTCGGGTCTGGGGTGTGACCGGGGGCCTGATTGAGCTGCCGTTCTCCAGCTCTGAGTCTCTCAGGGATTGAACTTGAGAATGGTGGTTCCCAGAAGCAGAGGAACCTAGAGGCAGAGGCCTGGGCAGTGGGTGGGAGAGAGACTGGCCAGTGGGTTCCAAGTCACAGGGAGCCGGGAGTGAGTGCAGGCATCCATCCAGGGGTCCTTGGCAGCTTCAGCCTGGCTGGGAACTGGTGAGAAATGCACCTGCTCACCAGGCCCCGCCCCCAGGGCTGCTGGAGCAGAACTCCTGGAACTCCCACCCGTTTTAAGGAAGCCCTTCAGGTGTGGGGATAGAGGTCAAACCACAAGTCAGAGAGAGGCGTGAGGGGTTCCCCGGGATAATTCCCTGTGTGTGGTGCGGGAGCCCCCAGCCTTCACTTGCACTTCCGTTGTGTGGGGCAGTCCCTCTGGAAAGTGGGCTCCACCTGCGGTAAGAGCCGTTCCCGGCAACCCAAGGTGGGAGGTGCGGGGTTTTAGGTCGGCAACTCTAGAAGAGGGAGGGTGCGAGGAGGCCATGGGGTCTCCATGGAGACGAAAGTAGCAGAGCTCTCTGCAGCCCTGACACCAGGGGGCGCATCAGAGAACGTGCATCCATGGAGACCAGCTGAGGCTGGGACCATCCTGGGGCCTCTTGGCACTGTGGCCCCTGCAGCACACAGGGCACCCATCACCAACGCCAAAGGCTGGGCAGCAGGAGGAAGTGCCCTCTCCCTCCCGGCCCCCGGGAGCCTCCAGTGCACCAGGCCACAGCCCCCCCCCCCTTTTTTGATTGATTGCAAGACAAAACCTTGTCCGTAATGCCCATTTCCCAGGGACTGGGACTCCCCAGCTCAAGTCCAAGGTCACACGTTGGCAGCCAGTATCGCTGCTCACAAGGCAGGCTCTGGTGCAGATCCCAGAGGTACGGGAGGCTAGGGCCCTTCATGCTCCCGGGTGGTGGGGAAGCTCACACCCCGTGTGCCCGCGCACGCAGCTGCCTGGAAAAGAGTCCCCCTCGCTCCCCCTCCGTTGTCGCTGCGCTCTGAGCACCCAGCTTGGAGGGCACCTTCTCCTCCCCTGTCCTCCCCCCCCCCTCCGAGCGTCTGCAAACTTGGAGATGCGGAGTGCATTCAGGGCCACGCCCGGCGAGTGTTTCCCTCGTGATCCTTTTCCCAGCTCCCTAACGCTATGGAGGCTGAGGCCGAGCAGGTGCAGACCTCTGCATGTGCAGGGCGCCGGTGGCTGGTGTAGGAAGGAGCGCGACCCCCGCCCGCCCAGCTCTCGGTGGGCCCTGGCGCGCCCCTGGTGGCCGCGAGCGCGCACCACCCCAGTACGGCTCATGCGCCCAGCCCTGCTGAGCAATGCTCAGAACTGGCCCCAGCTTCACCTTGCCCGAGGTCTCTGACTCTCCCACGCATGTAGAAAAGCCAAGATTCTTCCATGGCAGGGCGGCCCCTCCCTCTCACCTGAGGCCTGGGTGAGCGGTCAGCCCCTGCTCCCCGGACATCGGCTTCAAGGAGCTCAGAAAGTGCATCCCAGGTCGCTACTCTGGGGGGGGCCCTGTGCACCAAGCCCCCAGCCCTGCTCTGCAGTCCAGCCACGTGACTGCTCACCAGGCACCTCCACCAGAGGCTGGGTGCAGGAAGGGTGCCATGAGCATTCTCCTTAGAGGGGAGCCCCAAGCCCCGGGGGAGTCCTATAACATCACCCTCCTTTGTCAAAACCTCCCTCTGGCCAGGTTCACAAGCGCATCCCACAAGGGCTGCAGTGGCCTGTGGGCACCCCACTTGGGGAGTCATCCCTCCCCGTCTTCCAGGTGGCTGCCCATCATGTGAGAGTTGCCCAGAATGCACGTAGCAGGTGCAGAGGCTTATCACCCCCCCACCAAGGGCATCTGGAAAAACAGGTCCCTATGATCCCGGCAAAGACACCGAGTAACTGGCTTGTCTGAGGCTTTTTTAGTGTGCGGCTTGCATTCTGTCTTCCAGAAACACACTGACTAGGTCTTAAGTGATTAATTAAAAATACCCACCCCTCTCCCTCCTCCACCCCCTGTGCCACACACAAAGGAAGTGGATTGGAGACGTCACGAGCCAGGAAGTGGCCGAATGCGGAAGCCAGTGCACTCTGCCTCTGCCTCTCCACTCTCTCTGTCCTCCGTCCTGTGCAGCCAGCTCTGGCCTGGCCCAAGGTGGCAGGCCTGATTCTTTCGGGTTGTCTGAGGCCACACCAGCCTCACTAAGGAAGGAACTCACTCCCCCCCCCCCTATCCCTCCGCCACTCCCGCTCCTCGTTGCCAGGTGCCTGGGGTCTTCCAGGTCAGAACTCAGGGCTGACCCGGTCTTCGGGTGTGTGCAGTGAGCCTGGGCCCAGGAGTTGCCTGGTCATGTCAGCAGGCCTATGTCATGCTCTGAGCACAGGTTGGGGGAGGGGAAGGGCAGGGACTGGGCCATCAGTCCAGGCCTCCCACCCTCTGGTGGGCTGAGCGGTGCAGATTCTGCCTTGGCCTGCAGCATGGGGGACTCCCCCCGGGGCCTGTGAGTGGGGGTCCTGCCCCCACCTTGAGGTTCCCCATGCCAGGACCCCCAGGAGCGCAGAGGAACATTTACTGAGACCCTGTCTTCCCTCCTGAGCCTTGTGGAACAGGGGCTCTGGGGAGGGAGCCTAAGAGGTTAGCATGGGATCTGAAACCACATTGGGGCTGAGACCCCTCCCCCAGCCCCAGGTCTCCACCCACCCATGGTGGATCAGAAGCTGGGAGGCAGATCCCAGCACCTACCCCGATTTTACCCATGTAACACTGGGGCAACAGAGAGGGAAAGAAAACTTGCTCGCGGTGACCAGCCAAGAAGGCACAGAGCCAGTGGGGAGTCTGCCCACAAGTGGGGTCTCACTGTGCCTTGTCCTCGCCCCTTCTAGAAAGCCCCTCCCCTCCGTGTCCGCCACAGAGACAGAATGAGGAGCACCGGCATGCTTGGCGCACGTGCCTTTATTGGGGCGGGCTCAGAGTTCGTGGATTACGGGGAGGTGCAGGTAGAAAGTCCTCAGGATACTGCTCGGAGCTAGGGCTGTAGGAGGAGTCCGTGGCCCGGCTGGGCCGCCCAGCCATGTGGCTTCTGAGGTTGGCGCCTTGCGGCCCGTCCCGTGATGTTCTCGCCAGAGAGTGCCCAGGGGCCCTGCTTCACAGAGCTTCCCCCTGGGGACGGCCCTGGTCTTGCCACTGTCTGTTTGCCTGGGGCAGACCCCCGAGCCCAGCAGAGGCACCAGTCCTCCTGCTGGCTGTCTCCTACTTGACTGCTTTTCCTGGACTTCCCCAAAGAGCCAGTCCAGGGGGTCTGCAGGGCCCCCGTGGGCCGTGGGGGCTGCTGCGCAGCCGAAGCGGGGCGGTGCTGTCCTGGAGGTGGCAGTGGGGCAGGTCTCCTCCAAGCCCCAAGCTGGCCGGTGGGGTCCGCTGAGTCCGTCTTGGACTGTGGCCTTGTCCAGGACGCAGGGTGGCTGTGCCAGCTGACAGATGGACCTTACGTATTCATCCAGCTGGGGGAGGCCGGGGATCTCCTGTCCAGCCCCCCGGGGGTCCAGCATCTCCTCTGAGGTCTCCCGAATTGTGGGCAGAGGAGCCACGGAAAGCAGAAGCCGGGACCTCATGGCGCCAGCAGGGGGCGCAGCAACCTGCCTGTGAACAGAGAACAGAGGGTGAGAGCCTTGCCTTGCCCCCTCCTGTGTCCCCTCCCTCCTCAAGGCTGCCCTAGGAAGCAGGTGTCCTGAGAGCAGTGACTTCCCATGCACTGCTGTGCTGTTTCTTCCTGCTAAATGAGGGACAAGCACAAATGAGAGAGGCCAGCCGAATGAAGATAAGGTCAGAGGAAACCCAGGTTTAAAACCAGGTTTCAAAGCCACTCACTGACCCCGGGACCTTGGTGGGGTCCCCCCTTATGCCCCCCCACTTACCAGCCACAAAATGGGGTTATTCGCGTCCCAAGACACACGTGATTAACCCCTTTTGAGCACTCTCTTTGAAAGCTGCGCCTACTTTTTAGCTGTTGCATCCCTGGTCTCCTACGGGTGCAGGTTCAGGCTGAATTTCGCCCCCTCCAAGCTAAGCAAAGTCCCCGTGGTTGGCTCAAGCTGGGGGGCAGTGGCCGTCTCTTACCTGTAACGGACAGGGTCTAGGGACAGCAGGGAAGCTGTGCCAGCAAGGGCAGTCCTGTCCAGGGGGAAGCCCCCAGGAAGCTTCGGGGGGCAGAGGGTTCTGTCCGGCACTGGGGACTGAGAGCAGGAGGAGGACAGCAGGGCCGTGCTTCAGCCAAGACCAGGCAAAGCAGGAAACTCCTCCCGGGGCCTGCCTGCCGCTGCTTTTATACCTTCCCCCCTGGCCATCCAGAGCCAAAAATAGCCGTGCTCAGGAAGGCTCTGGGAGGAAAACAGCCTGGTGGGCGGGGCCTGGCCCAGCTGCCAGCCTGGAGCCCTGTTTGTGCCTGTGGGAGGCTCTAGCTGTTTACACTGAAGGGCGGGGGTGGAGTAGCCACTGTTCTGGCCACCTAAGGCACTGGGGTTGGGGGGTCAGGGAGGGGAGAGGCAGCTCCACAGCTAGCCCAGGCTAGAAGCCTTCCGAACTGTGTGTTCCACCAGCACCAGGACCCACTCCAGCTGTGCGCTGGCTCCCACAGACCCCTGGGCCTGCAGCGGTGAGGCCGGTGGCTGGACCCGCCAGTGACCTGACGTCAGCCGTGCCCGACCCCAGCCTCAGGCCTGCTCAGAGGCAGGGCATGGTCGCCTTGGAGCAGGGCCAGGGCAGCCTGTGGGGTCTGAGCCTGGTGTTGCTGAAGTCTGGATCCGGGGCCTGCATAGGACAGTCTGTTGGCTCAGTCGTTCACCAAATAAACGGTCCTGCCGTGGGCCTCTGCCTGCTCTTGGCGCAGCAGACATAGCAGTGATCATATGCCTGGCAGTGGCCTCCAAGGCCCCTGGAACTCACATTCTGGAGTGGGGAGGGGGGACTTCCAGCTACTAAGTAAAGCCCAACAGCATGCAGTGACTTCCCTAAGACAGGCCGATGGAGCATGTGCAAAGGCCCTGTGATGGGAGTGTGCTGGCCATGCTCAGGGGACCTGGGACAGGCCCAGGTGGGAAGAAGGCAGGGACCTCCGCGTGGATGCTGGGTTCCATCCGGGGGGTGGTGGCGTAGACACTGCATCATTTAAACAAGGGTGCTACAGTCCTGGCCTCTGCTTGAGAGGATTAGCTCCAGCTGCTGGACCTGGGCTGAAGTGGCTAGAGGAAGCCTCTTCCCACCCATAGGGGCGAGCGCCAGAGTTCAATAGGCCACTGAGGACAAGGTGGGTGGCCCGGTGAGCGTCTCAGACCCCAGATCCCCTGCCCCAGCCTCGGCCCCACCTGGAACACACCTGCTTCATGCCTGTAGGCAGGGAAGAAAGAGAAGTCACCAGGAAGAAAGAGGGCTGCCCAAGCCAGGGTGTGAGTGTTGGACAGACCCCAGACTCCCTAGGCAGATGCTGGGGTCCCGGGGGCCTCTCCCCGACCTGGGGGCATCTGAGACCAGCGAGCATGCAGCAGCTCCCGCCCCAGTAGCCTCTGCGGAGCCCGTGTCTGTTTTCTGTCTCGTCTTGGGATTACTGAGACTTGGGATTGCAAAGACTGGAGCGTCTGACGTGGGACACAGAAGTAGAGAGCCCAGGGTGACGTCCTGACACGTGGGATTCTAGAGTCCCCTGGGCTTGTGGGACCTGCTCTGCCTGCATGCCATGCCCCTCCTGCTTGGCGAGTATGACCCAAGCATGTCGGGCCAGCACCTCCCCGCGAGTCTGCCCCTGACCTCAGAGGCGGCCCCCTGGGTCACCCCTCCTTTTCTGGGTCTCCTCCTTTCCCCGTGCCCCCTGCCTCAGTGTCTCGTCTGGGCTGTCCCACACAGTTGCTGATTAACCCCACTCACCATCCGCTCCCTGGTCTTAGACACACAGCGCACCTGCCCAGGAGGTGGCCAGCCACCTGACTTCCCTGATTGGCTGCCTGCTGCTTCCTGCCTCCGCCCCTGCATCTTCTCAGACAGGAGCACCTGTCGCTCATCCTCTCTGTCTGCCTTTAACCGTCACCTTGTCCAGGAAGCCCCCTTGTGTCTAGTCTGTCCAAGCCTGAGCCCCCTGTGGCCGGGTGCATGTCTGAATTGCCTTCTGCTGTTCAGGGTCCAAGGCTGTGGGTCTCAGCAGAGCAGCCGTCCCTACAAGCTGAGATGTTCCAGGTGGGGGCGCTCTGTGCTGCCAGAGGCACCAGACCTGCACCCCACCTTGGGTTTTCAAATGAACCCCAGATGGCTGCCAGCCCTTGCTTTGTAGGTAGGACAAGTTGTACACCTGTGTCTGTGTCCTATCAGTAGAAATAGAAAACAACGCTGGGTTTTTCTTGTTTGCTTTCTTTTTTTAGCCAGTAGTACGGGATCATATCAGAAAGCTGTGTGTATCTTTGATAACCTGAGAGTCGAATGTTTTCTCCGTGGGTGGTGGGGTGTTTGTCGTCCGTAATGGACCATGAGATCCTTGCTGGGCAGGACATCTCTGTAAGTGCTGCCAGGGACGGCAAGAAGTGCCCATGACCTGGTCTCCCTGGACTTTTAAAAAATGCCAATAAAGAGAGAGAAGTGGGATTTGTGAATCTGAATTCCACGTACATGAGGAATCTAAAATGATCCAATGAAGAGGCACAGAGGGGGTGCAGACGATGCGGCTGGGCCAGGCCCGTGGGAGGTGGGACAGTGGGGCTAGGCACAGAGAGCCTGGAGCGGTAGATCAGAGACATGGAATTCAGCCAACTGGGCGCCTGCAGAGGACTGGGTCCCTTGGGCTGGGAGGTTTGGCAAAGGCTTGGTAGGGGGCACATAGACCTGGGGAAACTGAGGCTGCTTGGGGATGCAGGGTGGGGGCTGTTGCAGGAATTCTAGTGGTGGGAGGTGAGGCTGGCGGTGTCCTGGGGTGGTGAAAAATACAAAGCCAGCTGTTGGGAAAGAAACTGATTTGAACACCAAGGGGCCGGGTCAGCCCAGGGAGAAGGAAGCAGGGGAGGGGGGTGGAGGGTGAGACTCACCCAGAAGAGCAGCTGACACTGCCCTGGTGGATGTGAGACCCCCTGCCCCCGGCACAGGCTGTGCTGAGAGTGTCCTGAGTGGCCAGATGGTGCTTCCCTGGCACGTGCTTCCTCATGAGGGGTGGACGTGCCTGTCGGTCAGTAGTGGGTTCCTGTGGGACACCTGACTCAGCCCCTGCGCCCTGGCTGGGCTCCTGGCCAGCAGTGGGCCGAGGGTGGAAGGCACGCTCGGGCTTCCTCCTGCACTCCTGGAGGAGGAGGGGTGGGACTGAGGGTTCTGGGATGGTGGGGGCCCCGAGGGTGGCTGCCACAGGGGGAAGGAAGCTGACCTCTGTGGTCCCCGCAGGAGGAAGGGGCTTTGATCATCGAGGGGCTCCTCAACATCGCCTGGGGTCTCCGGCGGCCCATCCGGCTGCAAATGCAGGACGACCGGGAGCGCGTGCACCTGCCCTCTGCCTCGTGGGTGCCTGGACGGCCCAGCAGCCACCTGTGAGTGCCCAGTGGGTGGAGCAGGGCTGGGGGGCCTTGGTGATGCCTGTTCAACCTCAGCTCTGCCATCTGGGGTGGGGTGTCCGGGGCCTGAGGGTGCAGGCTCTGGTCCTCTCTGGAACTCCAGCATGGGGGCATGGGCCAGCATCATCCCCACAGTCCGTGGCCTTGGTGCTCCGTGGCCTCACCGCCCAGACATGCCACCTGAGAGCAAGGAGAGAGGCCAGCAGCCACAGGGTTCCATCGCTGCTGCAGGCCATGCTTTCTTGGCATACCCTGCCTTACGAAGTCACACAAATGTAGCCTTGTACTACTCTGGAACCATAGTTCATAACTATGCATTACTTGTCCAGGGATAGGCAAACAGTCAGTGGAACAAAATAGATTTTTTTTTTTTTTGACATGCAGAGTGGACAGTGAGAGAGAGAGAGACAGAGAGAAAGGTCTTCCTTTGCCGTTGGTTCACCCTCCAATGGCCACCGTGGCCGGCATGCTGCGGCTGGTGCATCGCGCTGATCTGAAGCCAGGAGCCAGGTGCTTCTCCTGGTCTCCCATGGGGTGCAGGGCTCAAGCACTTGGGCCATCCTCCACTGCACTCCCTGGCCACAGCAGAGAGCTGGCCTGGAAGAGGAGCAACCGGGACAGAATCCAGTGCCCCAACCGGGACTAGAACCCGGTGTGCCAGCGCCACAAGGTGGAGGATTAGCCTATTGAGCCATGGCACTGGCCACAAAATAGCTTTTTTAAAAAACTTAGAGGCATTGATATTACCTCTTAGTTTTTTTGTTTGTTTGTTTGTTTTTTTAAGATTTATTTATTTCAAAGGCTGAGAGAGAGATCTTCCAATCTTGGTCACTCCCCAAAATGGCAGCAACAGCCATGCCTGGGCCAGGCCAAAGCCAAGAGCCTGGAACTTCATCTGGGTCTCCCACGTGGGTGTGGGGGCCCAAGAACTCTGGTCATTTTTTCCACTGCTTTCCCAGGCACATTAGCAGGGAGCTGGATTGAAAGTGGAGCAGAGCAGCTGGGACTTGAACCAGTGCACCATTGTAGGTGGCAGCTTAATTCATTATACTCCAATGCTAGCCCTCAGAATAGGCTTTTAAATAAATGGTTCCGCTCTCCATTTAGAAAGAGATAAAGCTAGATCCCTTCTTCACACCACACACCAAAAGCAAGCTCAGGTGGACTAGACTGGCACACACCAGTAAGTCTACAGCATGAGACACTGGTGAAGAGGTGGGGAGACAGGGCTCATCCACAATGTTAGAGGGATGTCTCCTTCTGGAAGCCATGGTTTCTTGCATATTTTACTATTTAACAGACACTTACCTCCCCTACCCCCCAGCCCCAGAAAGGGCAGGCCATGGCTAGCCTTGTTTTCTTAAGAGACAGGCATTCGCAGCATTACCCCTTTCAAATGAGCAAGTGGAATCAAAACTCAGAGAGCGCTTAGCAAGTGGGCACCCTGGACATAGCTGGGGTGGCCCGTGGTCACTGAGTATATTGTGAGCCACAGAGGTGTACAGGGCAAAGTTGCATGCCCCAGAAAAACTGCATGATTTTTTACCTTGGGGTAAAATCAGTCACAGGTACAGTCCCGGTCATAGCCAACCATGTGCCCACGGGTCCTTGTGTCCACGCAACACAGCCCTTGTCTGCAGAGCCGAACTCAGGCTCCTCCCAGCAGATGCTGTGCAAGGCTTTTCCTTGTTTTATTGTTCCAAGTTCACTTTCTCGACATGAAACCCAGGCTTCCACTTGGCCTGCCCCTCTTGCTTCTCGCCTGTGTGTTGTGCCCCCGAATCTGCCGGCCTCGTGTCTTTGGCCTGAGACGGTCCCCCACCCTGCCCTCTGAGCCCTGCGATTGTGTCCTTTCAGGAAGGAGCCCCCTCCCCAGGACGGCAGGGTCCCCAGCGAGGAGCCGAGTGCCCAGCCCAAGGCTGAGAGTTGCAGAGACGGCGGAGGTAAGCCCAGCCTGTCTCACCTGGGGCAGGGACAAGAGATGCGGATCCAAGCTGGCTCCCTGAGAACATTTGCAGCGTCTTTTGTCTTAGGGGCCACCCTCGCCAAGTCCAGAACTCAATACAGGGTGCATAATGTGCATTGCCATTTACACCTGTCTGTGGGAAATGACTCAGGGACTTTGGAGGTGACCCAGAGTGTGGGACCGGAGGCCCCCCCACCCGTGTTGTGTGTGCTATGGAAAGAAGCCTCATCAGGCAGCACGGCGCCCTGGCCCAGGTCTCTAGCATCGCCCCCTTGCTCTCTGGGACCTGTAACAACCCACCTATCCCCTCTGTGCACCTTCCCTCCGCACTCAGCCAAGGGCTTGACCCACAGTGGTACCCAGAGGACAGGACTGGGGTCCCCTGAGACCTTGGTGAGTTCCCCATGGTGGAAAACAGGAGGCTGATGACCTTGTGAGGTTGTGACCCAAGTGGCCCCACGGAGGCGGGGGTGGGGGGCTCACCTTTCCGTGTGCAACTATGGAATCGCCCGGCCTCCAGCACAGGAGTGACACCGACACCACCGTGTGGCTACGGAGCCCGAAGAGCTGGCCGCCGGAGCCCTGGCCATGGCTGTCACCACCTTCTACCCATGCCTAAGCCCCTCCCTGTCTGTTTCCTGCCACAGGGCCCCCAGAGGAGGATGAGGAGGCCCCACAGCTGATGCGTACCAAGAGCGATGCCAGCGCCATGATCCAGAGGAGGCCCAGGAGCCGCGCACCTGGCGAGGCCCAGCGCCTCCGCCGGCACCGGTTCTCCATCAATGGGCACTTTTATAACCACAAGGTGACGTCCTGCCCCTGCCCAGGCCTTCCCTTGCTCTTGAAGCTGAGCGTGCAGGGTGCCAGCGCCAAGCACAAGTGTAGCAGGTGCAGCAGGTCCCATAACGGTCACGTGAGGGCTCACTCCCATCATGGTCCCATCAGGGGGCCTGCCGCCATCCCTGACCCAAGGCCACATCCATGAAAGTGTCCCGTGTTTGCACTCACTGTCAGTCCATTCTCAGAAGCCATGTGGAGTCTGGCCAGCAAGCCTTAGGCTGGCAGCAGGGAATGCCAAGTTCATCTTCAGGGAAGCTGTTTCCTGTGAGCTCAAGGGATGGCTCGCTGAGGACACCAGGCATCCAGGGGTCACCCTGCTGGGTGAATCGAGCCCACAGGAGCAGAGGTGTGCCCAGGGCGCATGGCTGTGTTCCCAGAGAACCTGGCCAGCCTCCGATTCCCAGCCTTTGTCTGAGATTTCATTGTCTGGGCCTGGGGGAAGCATCGCCCTCCCCAGTGACATCATCCCACAAACAAATCCGACCCGAAAGGAGATGTGGATTGTTTCTATAAATGGAGTGAGTGGCAGCTGGGGCGAGACCCAGCACGGAGTGTGCTGTAAGAGGCTGCATCCGGCCGCTCGGAAGCAAAAGCACAGGTTTTCCCCTTTAAGCAGCTGCCCTGCTGATTGAGGAAGACTGGGGGGTGGGCAGGGCCCTTCTGCTCTTAGGTGTGGGGACAGAGAATGCAGCTGAGCAAGCTGAAGGGACCCTGCTCAGGACCTCCCTTTTGTCCTCTTGCCCAGTTCCCAGCTCCACCCTAGGCAGGCTGCTTTGCAGTGAGGGACCAGCCTCCCGTCCCTGGTAGGCTCCTATAAAGTGCTAATGAATGACAATGGCCAAAGGATTGTCTTTACTAAATCTGAGAAAATCCTGTGGTTTCCCAGGAGAGTGAGGGGGTGCCAGCATTGAAGTTTAGCAAAGACTAAGAACAGTGTCCATTGCCAAAGGACTTGTCATATGGCTTGAATATCCTGGTTTTTTTTTTCTTAAGATTTATTCAATTTATTTGAAAGACGGTTCTAGAGAAAGAAAGGGAGAGACACACAGAGAGATATCTTCCATCTACTGGTTCACTCGCTAAATGGCTACAACAGCCAGGGCTGGGCCAAGCCAAAGCCAGGAGCTTCATCTGAGTCTCCCACGTGGGTGTGGAGGGCCAAGCACTTGGGTCATCTTCTACTGCTTTTCCCAGGCCCGTTAGCAGGGAGCTGGATTGGATGTGGAGCAGCCGGGACTTGAACCAGCATCCGTATGGGATGCCGGCATTGCAGGCAATGCAGCTTAACCCACTATTCCACAGCACCAGCCCCCAGCCCCACTTGGATATTCTTTAAATCTTGCTCTGAGATGGGTTTTGTTTCTAGAAGTATGAAGCACCAATGGTTAGTGTTTAAATACATCTTGATATGCTATGTTAAGGAATTCCTCAAAATTTTTCAGAGAATCTGTGTGTGAGCTAAGAGTCCCCTCAGTAGAACTCAGCAAGCTAATCATGGGGCAGTGGGGGTGGTGGAAGAAAGTTGGTGTTTATTTGCAAAGTGTGGAGCAAGGAGCCAGGCAATGGACACTTAATTCCCAGGGTCCCCGAGAGGGTTTAGGGTCAAAGTTCTTGTCGACTGAAGTTGGGGTTGAGAGGTGCAGGCCCAACTCATGTGCAGATCCCGGGGTAGTCTTCAGCGCTCCACTGATTGGTCAGTGGTATTGTGTTCTTTTAGGAATTTCGATGATGGCAAAGCAGGCTTCAGTTGGCCCGGGGGTGGTAGTGACTTCTTGCCCTGGGCCTGAGGTTCCTGGAAAAACCCTCAAGAGACCAGAAATCCAGATGGTAGCTACAGGGGAGAGGAGTGACCCCAGAAGTCCTGTGATCTGAGACCTGGCTGTACCAATCCCTCCATTCCGTGAATTTTAGTAAGAGGTTGATTGCAATCTTAAAAGCAGGACGAGGAAGCCTGAAACTCACGCAGGGAAGCTGGGAGACTGCAGGAGACCAGGAACTGACGGCCCCTGGCATCTGCAAAGGGGCGTTAGGAACCGGCTTGGTTTCCTGGCGGCTTCAGGTGCCATACACTGGGGCTTTGCTGTGCTGTGGGCTTGTCCATCTCTGAGAGGTGTTTGTAGATTCAGTCATTGCAGACATCACGGGGCTCCAGCACCATGTGACCTTTGGAAGGAGCAGAAATGAACAGTGGCCCTTCGGTTCCAACGGAACCAACAGTTGCTTTTCTTAGCCAGCGGAGAGAGCGAGCCCTGGGCCTCTGCCTGCCACCCAGTTGGGGCACCATTTCATCCTAGTAACAGATGCACCTGTGTGGTGGGTATCCGGGCCTCTAGGAGGCCATACCGTCTTCCAGGGTGTGCAAGAGCACCTTAGGCATGTGGGACTTTCCTACTCATTTCCTGCATGCCCAAAGGACCCCCAAAAAGAAGCCCTACACATAAGCCTCCTTCCTTACCCCACCCTGTATCTGTACAGAATTCTTGTCCTTAGAAATTAGGGTATGAGTTTCTTAAGTCATAATTAACAATTAAAAAAAAAAACAACGAAAGAATTCCTAGCATTGCCTTTCCGGGTAATGGTTCTGAGTTTTATTTCTTAGAACTGTGCACTATGAATCCACTTAGTCATCTTCCAAAACTGTTCTGATTTACAGTCATGTTGGTTTGACTGCCAGCCCGAGTTGAAGCTTTATGGCTGTTCCCACTGCGCTGGGCTGGCCTGCTGGATTCGAATGTGTTCTCTTAGGGAGGAACCCGCTGTGGGTAGAAGCAAAACAGCCTGGGACCTTTGTTCCCACTTGGAGCTGGTCGGTATCCTTCTGAGAAAAGGCAGAGGCAACACTGACAATGCCTCGCTTGACAAGACGTCTCCCCTCTGGGAAGTAGCCGGATTCCTCTCCCCAGCGCCGTATTTCTTGGGAGCTAAAAGCCTAACTCAACACTCAGCTCTTCTGAATGCCCCAGAGTCACTGTGTGTCCCAGCTGTGGAGGAAGCAGGTCTGAGTTTGAGGCCGATGCTGGCACTCACTGGAGTGACGGCCAGCTGGGGACACTGAGCCCCAGCCCCTTGGAGCACCCTGAGCTGAGCCAGCTCCCTGGGAAAGCAGATCTAGGCCCATATATGAACTTGAACTTGGTTTTGCAGAGGGAGGAGGGGCTCACTTGCAGAAGGGTCCCATTGGCTAGAAGGCAGCAGCACCAGGGGGCTGTGTGTGGGGTTCCAGACTTCACAGAATCCTCAGCGGCGGTGCTGTCTGGATGCGTGCCCCAGACAAGCCTCGTACTAACCTCAAGTCTCTGTTTCCTTTCTAAGAAGAGACAGCTAGGTGGGGGTATACTTCAGAGAACTAAGTTAAAGATTACAGTTAAACACTTAGCAGGTTCAGTGCAGGGCTAGTGTCATTGACAGACTTTACATCAGATAGTGTCCTGGTGGATTTTTTGAGGCTCCTTGCCTTACGATGGGGTTGCATTTCCCCCTAAACACTTTGTTAAGTTGAAAATGCACTGGATGGGGAATGGAGTCGTGGTGTGGCCAATAAAGATGGCTATATGGGCGCTGGTTTGTGTCCCAGCTGCTCCACTTCCAATCCAGCTCCCTGATAATGCCCTGGGAAAAGCAGCAGAAGATGTGCTCCTGCCACCCACATGGGAGACCTGGAAAAAGCTCCTGGCTCCTGGCTCCTGGCTCCTGGCTTCGGCCTGGCCCAGCTCTGGCCCTTGTGGCCATCTGAGGAGTGAACCAGCAGATGGAAGACTTCTCTCTTGGCTCTTGCCCTCTCTCTGTAACTCTGCCTTTCAAACAAATAAATAAATCTTTAGGAAAAAAAAAGAAGAAGAAAGGAAATGCACTGGATGCAGCCGTCCCTGGAAAAGATCAAGCTGAAAGCACCATTTCTGCTGAATTTGACTGCGTTGCTTTTGCACCAACATGAAGTTGAAAAATCACAGTGGAACCACCGTAAGCCAGGGGCCGTCAGTGAGTGACAGGCCAAGGCCAGATCTCTGAAGGGTACTGCGTGCTCCCCTAAGTTGTGGAGAAGCCAGTGTGGCTGGAACACAAGGCTGATTGTGGTGTCACCTACGTGTGTCCATGAGAGGAGCTGCCTCTGGTGTTGCACAGGCTGCGCGCAACCTTCAGATATTTTTAGCTGGAACCGTGCTGTGGAACAGCACTTCTCATGATACAGAGAGATGGCCCCATGTTCTGCAAATGCAGGGTCTGATTTGGGGGGTCTGGAGCAGAGAGGAGGGGTGGGGGCCTCCCCATGGCCGTCCATGGTGGTCCAGTGCACACCTGGAGCTGTAGGTTTGGTTTTTTTAAAAATATTTTATTTATTTATTTGAAAATAGAGTTACAGAGAGAGGTAGAGACAGAGAGAGAGGTCTTCCATCCACTGGTTCACTCCCCAAATAGCTGCAAGTCAGGAGCCAGGAGCTTCTTCCATGTCTCCTAATGTGGGTGCAGGGGCCCAAGGACCTGGGCCATCTTCTGCTTTCCCAGGCAACAGCAGAGAGCTGGATCGGAAGTGGAGCAGCCGGGACTAGAACCGAAACCCATATGGGATGCCAGCACTGCAGGTGGCGGCTTTACCCACTATGCCACAGCGCTGGCCCCAGCCGCAGCGTTTTGAAAGGTTGTGTTTTTGAGCTGTAGTGTAGAGGGTGGGCTGGCAGGGTAGAGATGAGGAAGGGGCGTGCCGGGGGGCTGCTGCCGTCTGCTCAGGCACTGCTGGGAGACTGTGGAGGAGGAGACACACTGGAGAACTTCCTGCCTTAGTCAGCAGACGCTGGCTGATTTGATTGACAGAGTGAGGGAGAGGCAGGTTCCCCCTTACGAGTGACTCCCGTCATCCTGATTCTCCAGTCCAGATGGGCGCCCTATGCATGTGCTGCCCCCAGCAGCCCTGGTGTCTGGGCACCGACAGCCCAGGTGTGCCCGAGAGCCTGGGTCGCCACCAGGATGGTAGCCCATTGTCCTGCTCCGGGCCCGTCCTGAACTGCCCTCCTCCCTGGCACAGACCTCCGTGTTCACTCCGGCCTACGGCTCCGTGACCAACGTGAGGGTCAACAGCACCATGACAACGCTGCATGTGCTCACCCTGCTGCTGAACAAGTTCAGAGTGAGTCTGGCCCTGTGTGGCCTGGACCCTACGTGGTTTGTCCTTGTTTCGGGGGGCTGGGGGGAGCAAAGCTTCCTCTGCTGAGATGACTTCTCGGAGACCATAAGGAGAGGGCCCCTGGGGACTGGAGCTCATGGCACTGGGGGCGTGGTTACTGCCTGGGGTCCTGTCATCTCTAACAGCCCTGGCCTTACCCCCTCCCCCTTCCCACCGTGACTATCACCTACGCAGGTGGAAGATGGCCCTGGCGAGTTTGCACTCTACATTGTCCACGAATCCGGAGGTAAGGGTTTGCCTTCACTCGCCCAATGTAGAAGCAAAATGTCTCTGTCTGTCCAGTAAGCTCGCTGGCTGGGCCCTTCCCTGAGGGGCCTGGGTGCTGGCCAGCTTGGGTGGGTGGGTGGGGTCTCAGGACAGCCCGACCCTCCTCACTTGGCTGCCTCCCACTTATGCACATCCCTGCCAACCCAAACCCGTGCAGGCTCCTGTCTGCCACCAAAGCTGTAGAAGCAGCCACCTCCCCAGTCCCAGCCCTCCTGTCTTTTTCTGTGGTACTCATGGCCGGGGAGCAGGCCCAGCCTCTGCTAGGCTCCTGCTCCTCGCTGAGCTGGGTCTTTGTGAAATGATACCAGCAGAAGGAAAACAACCTCTTGCCCCTCCCTCCCCAGGTTCATGATGCTCTGTACATTTAGGTCAATAAAAGAGAAAACAGCCGAGGTTTAGTAGGGCGTGCACTGCAGGGAGTGGTTAAGGAGTGGATGGGTATGGGCGTAGGTCGCCTCTTAACAGAAGCTTGCTATTAGGGGAGTCCAGAGACACGGGAGTGGCCGGTGGCCTAAAGGTCAGCAGTGGGGACTCCGATGGCAGAGGCAGCTTCAGCAACACTTGTGATTCAGGTGCCTTCCCTGTGTGACAAGGACCGAGGGTGGTCTCTGCTGATTCATGTCTACGCACCAACCCAAATGGGTGTCCTGCTTTTAGGCACACAGGGGAGCACGGAGAGTCTCCTCGGCTCACCCGCCATCCTGGCATGCTTTGGGGTCACATGTCTGCACCCCTGCAGCACAATCACACCCCTCCCAGGACAGCAGTCTGGAGAGAGTCTCCTGGGCCCCCACCCTGGATTTCACTTTTCTATCGCGTGCCTGTCCTGGTCCAAAGAGCATCATTGACCCGGATGGGCCAGGAGCTGTGTAAATGGCCTTGTTTTCCAGAAAGGACAAAGTTAAAGGATTGTGAGTACCCACTGATTTCCAGAATCCTGCACGGGCCCTGTGAGAAGATCGCCAAGATGTTCCTGATGGAAGCAGACCTGGGCGAGGAGGTGCCCCACGATGTGAGTAGGGGCCAGGAGACACCGTGGGGGACCTCCCACAGGCTCTGTAGCCCCCCTTGGCCAGAGTCCAGGGCACACAGCTGTCCCCAAGCCCCCCTGTCCAGCACGGTGATGGTCCCAGCCCTCCCTCTGCCTGTTACTGTCTTGGGGGAAAGAAGAACTTGGGGTCTAAAAAGCCACAGCCCTGTCTTTTTCCTCTCTTTAGCGCGCCATCATGTCTCAGTGTGCACAGGACCCCCTGCAGACACCCAAAATCTGCAGGTGTCAAGTCCCATGTGTTACATGGCATAGGATCTGCATAGAGCCTATACAATCCTCCGTATTCTTTTTTAAATTTTTTTTAAATTTGTTTGAAAAGACAGTTACAGAGAGAGAAGGAGAGACATAGCTAGAAAGATCCTCTATTAGATAGACTGAGAGACCAGAGAGATCTTCTCTCTCTGCTGGTTCACTCCCCAAATGACCCAACAACCAGGGCTAGGCTAGGCTGAAGCCAGGAGCCTGGAACTCCATACGAGTCTCCCATGTGAGTCTCCCACATACTTGGGTCATCAACTGCTACCTTCCCAGGGAGCTGGATTGGAAATAGAGCAGCTGGGACTTGAACCAGTACCCATGTGGGATGCGGGTGCTGCAGGCTGTGGCTTCGTGGCTTAACTCACTGTGCCACAGCGCCAGCTCCTCTCCCATATACTTTAAACCACCTCCAGACCCTTAGAATACCTAATACAATGTATACGTTGTATGAGGTATACATTATACAATGTATTAGGTATGCATTGTACAATGTATTAGGTATGCATTGTACAATGTATTAGGTATGCATTGTACAATGTATTAGGTATGCATTGTACAATGTATTAGGTATGCATTGTACAATGTATTAGGTATGCATTGTACAATGTATTAGGTATGCATTGTACAATGTATTAGGTATGCATTGGTACAATGTATTAGGTATGCATTATACAATGTATTAGGTATGCATTGTACAATGTATTAGGTATGCATTATACAATGTATTAGGTATGCATTGTACAATGTATTAGGTATGCATTGTACAATGTATTAGGTATACATTGTACAATGTATTAGGTATGCATTGTACAATGTATTAGGTATGCAATTATACAATGTATTAGGTATACATTATACAATGTATTAGGTATGCATTGTACATTGTATGAGGTATACATTATACAATGTATGAGGTATGCATTGTACATTGTATGAGGTATACATTATACAATGTATGAGGTATGCATTATACAATGTATTAGGTATGCATTATACAATGTATTAGGTATGCATTGTACAATGTATTAGGTATGCATTGTACAATGTATTAGGTATGCATTATACAATGTATTAGGTATGCATTGTACATTGTATGAGGTATACATTATACAATGTATGAGGTATGCATTATACAATGTATTAGGTATGCATTATACAATGTATTAGGTATGCATTGTACAATGTATTAGGTATGCATTGTACAATGTATTAGGTATGCATTATACAATGTATTAGGTATGCATTGTACAATGTATTAGGTATGCATTATACAATGTATTAGGTATGCATTGTACAATGTATTAGGTATACATTATACAATGTATTAGGTATACATTGTACAATGTATTAGGTATGCATTGTACAATGTATTAGGTATGCATTATACAATGTATTAGGTATGCATTGTGCAATGTATTAGGTATGCATTATACAATGTATTAGGTATGCATTGTACAATGTATTAGGTATGCATTATACAATGTATTAGGTATGCATTGTACAATGTATTAGGTATGCATTGTACAATGTATTAGGTATACATTGTACAATGTATTAGGTATGCATTGTACAATGTATTAGGTATGCATTATACAATGTATTAGGTATACATTATACAATGTATTAGGTATGCATTGTACATTGTATGAGGTATACATTATACAATGTATTAGGTATGCATTGTACATTGTATGAGGTATACATTATACAATGTATGAGGTATGCATTGTACATTGTATGAGGTATACATTATACAATGTATGAGGTATGCATTATACAATGTATTAGGTATGCATTATACAATGTATTAGGTATGCATTGTACAATGTATTAGGTATGCATTGTACAATGTATTAGGTATGCATTATACAATGTATTAGGTATGCATTGTACAATGTATTAGGTATGCATTATACAATGTATTAGGTATGCATTGTACAATGTATTAGGTATGCATTATACAATGTACAATGTACAGTGCTGTCAGAGTAGCTGTTAATAATGACAGTGCACATGTTCGGCGCAGACACAATATGGTTTTTTTTTTCCTATCTTCAATCCCGGGTTGCATGATGTGGAGGCCAGCTGCCTTTGGCTGTCTTTGCATGAATGAGCCATGTACAGGACTCTTTGCCCAGGACTACCTGGGGCTTATGGAGGAGGGGAAGGAGGCATTGCAGTCTCTGGGTCACTGCCAGGATCCAGGCTGGACAATGAGCACATCCCACACCCCCTGTGCATGGAGAGACCCAAGTAGGAGGCTTGGAGGCCCTGTGTCCCTCGGCTCTTCCCAGGGCACCCTTTTCCCAGGGCTGGAGCTGTTTCGTTCCATTGTCAGGAACAATGGTGTTCCCACCAGTCCACCCCCACCTCTCCATGTGCCAGCACTGCGGGACTAGGGCGTTTCCTAATATTCCAGCTAACATTTCCCCCGGCCCGGAGATAACGGTTGCCTTTGAGAAAGCAACAGTTCCCGTCCTCCCGGCTTCGGCACACAGCACAGGGCGGCGCTGGGGGTTGGGTGGGAAGTGGGCAGCTGCTTCTGGGGCTGCAAGATGCGGCTGCCTGGGCTCCCGTGGAAGCCATGAAGATGGCAAGATGGCGTGTTATTGGCTTCGATTTGAAAGCACATTAAAATGTTCTTGGATTTTCTAGGTTGCTCAGTACATTAAGTTTGAAATGCCGGTGCTGGACAGTTTTGTTGAAAAATTAAAGGAAGAGGAGGAAAGAGAAATTATCAAACTGACCATGAAGTAAGCGGCACCTCACCTGCTGGGCGGGCAGGTCTCTCTCCTCCATTGGCACCGACTGCCCTGCAGTATAGGGAGAGCTGTTGCTAACCCTGGTTCCCAGCCTCGCCCTCTGACCCCTGGCTGCCAAAACATCAGGGGCGCCATCCAGCCTCAGCATCCCCACACCAGCACGAGACACAGTTGTAGCTGGGCAGGAGAGGAAGAGGGCAGGGTGTGGCAGGGAGGGGAGGGTCTTGAGAGGGGGCGGGGCTGGATCAGGGTTTTGAATTCCGCAGGTGATTTGGTTCTGCTATTTCTGAATAGCAGGAATTCTGAGCAGTTGTTGCAATTCCCAGAGCCCTTTCATGTTTTTAGGAGTGGGAGACCAGCTGGAGGGAAAGGAAGGGGAGCAGGTGTCACCTGCAAGCAGCTGGAGAAGCTGTGTTGGGACCTGGCTTTTTGAGGTTCACCAAGCTGGGTCCCGGTGACCTGTCTCACTTGTTCCGGTGAAGTATGGAAGAGAACAGGTGGAGGTCATTCAGCCTGGGGCTGGAAAGGCCTGGGGTTGGGAAGTTGGTTTGACTTCTGGCTGCATGGCCCTTGGAAAGCCACATCCTGCACTCCCCCACCCCTACACACACACACACACACACACACACACACACACACACACACCCAGGCAGGCTTCCTGGCTGGGCCCCACCCAGGGAGTCAACAGAGACCCTGATCAGTGGAGAGCTGAAAGGGACCCAGGGACCACCTGGTGAGTATGCTCAGTGCACAGAAGAGGAGACCCCAGGTGGGGGAGGTTGCAGCACCGATTACTGCAGAGCCTGCAAGGGAACACAGGCTGCCTGAGCCCACCCCTGCTCACTTCGAGTCTTTGGAATAGAAGTGGCGGTTGTCTGTTTGAATGACGCTCTGTACAGTACATGGGGCAGGCCGGGGTCTTCTCTCTCCTGGGTGGCTGCCAATCAGCCATTCGGGAGCAGAGGTCTCCCGGGCCAGGCCCCACCACATACCTCGGTCAGTCACCGGCTCCTGGTCCTCTGCAGCAGCTGTGGTCCCCTTTGCTGTGTCTCCCTCCAGGTTCCAAGCCCTGCGTCTGACAATGCTGCAGCGCCTGGAGCAGCTGGTGGAGACCAAGTAGCTGGCAGGCACCTGCCTCTTCTGACCCCTCCAGCAGCAAGTGCACACGGAGTCCCAGCGGCTGGGCCCTGAGCGGTCACTCTGACTGATGGCCACCACCTGAGGAGCCCAACACCTGTACTTCCACCTGTCTGAAGCCTCAGTACCATGAGACCCACCTCCCTCGCTGTTGGCACACACAGGAATCAGACCCAGCTTGAGGAACCAGGAACTTGCTTGCTGGGGTTTGCACACAAGGCTGGCACCAGCAGTGAATAGATCTGAGACTGTAGCCCTGGCCACATTGTGTGGCTGGTCGGTGTGGCCAGTTCTGTCCACTCCACACTCTCTCTTCTTAGGAGAGCAATATAGGACCCAGTCCCTGGAGGGGGGCATGGGTTTTGTCTGGCCCAAGAGACCATGCAGGTTTCCATTATCATCATCATTCTTGCAAACCGAGAAACCCTTATCTGCCCCTACATCGTAGCCTTCCAGGAACTCTGCTAGGAAAAGCAGGGGCTTCCCACAGCTATGGGAGGTAACGTCCTCAGCCATTGCTTCACTTCCGCATCCCTGGCCTCCAAGCCTCTGACGTCACCCGTGAGCCTTGCACAGCCCAGCGCCCCGGTGCAGAGGGCAGATCAGGGATAAACCCACAAGCATCCTATCATCCCACTGCAGAGGTTCGTCTTAGCTTCTTAGAAGGAGCTCACTGCCTGCTGGCTCACAGTGGGAGGTGGTCCACCTGTGTGGGTGGGTGAGACTCCGGGGGCTACACCCAGGCCCCTGTCACCCCCACCCTGGATGCCTGTGTGGCTCTTACTTTCCCCAGGGTCTCATGATTTCCCTTCAAAGCCTGGTAGGAGGAGAAATGTTTCTCCGGGAAGAAGAGGCGTTGAGCTCCCTGGGGCCAGATGCTGAACAATGTGTGTTTGTCCACTAGTGGAGAATTTCTGGCACGAACGAGAAAGGCTTTGCAAAAACTATGCAGCAGTTTATACTGATCACGAGGGTGTTTGTCCAAAACGGAGCAGACTGAAGCCCAACACTCTTTCCCCCCTGGGAGCCCATGGGAAGTGGATTTAAAGAGAAGCGTGAAGGCTCGCAGAGATAGGACAGAGTCCACGTCCAGTGCATGTAAAGTGGGGAGAGCAGAGCCTGGGAGTAGCTGTGCCCTGTGGAGCAGCTCACCGGGGTGTGCGTCATGCCAGGATCTGCACCGCCCACTGCCATTGTCACAGAGACACACAGGGAAGGGGCAGAGGCCTGGCTGCTGTCCTCGGTCTCCTCTGATGGCACGGTGTCCTGGGTGCTCAATAAAACGGAGCTATCGTGGACTGAGGGAGTGAGGGCTGAACTTTCTTTTCCTTCCCTTCTTTGTCTTTTTTCCATGTCCACTGTGATGGCTTTGCTTCTGGAACTCTTGTCCTACGGCCTGTGTGGCTGTGGTTGGCAGATGGACTATCAGCTCTTCAGGCCAATGTGATTCTTTCACTCCCACCACATGTCCTGGGGGGACTAAGATGAGGATGCCGGAGGGCATGGAAGAGGAGTCATGCGAGGGTGCCTGAGGCTGGCCTGGACGATGCACAGTAACGTCACCTTCAAGGGCAGGATCTTAGCATCAGGAGGGTGTCAGGGATCCTCCAAGGTTGGGTCAGGTGGGATAGAGACAGGGCCCAGGAGAAGGTGGGACAGTGACGCAAGCAGGTGATTTGACTCCCCAGCCTGTACGTGCAACCTCGGGTGCAGGACAGTTGCTCACCTATCAATGGGCAGGAAGCAAGCAGCTCCTCGTGCAGGCTTGGGCTCAGCCCTGGAGGGACAAAGAGACAGCAGCCACACTCTGCCCTGTGCCAGACACCAGGATGGCCGGGACATCAGCCAGGCCTGGAGTGGGGCTAAGACAGCGCATGTGGTATTGCAGGCCAAGAGAGGCCTACCTGCTGGAGAGCCAGACAGGTACCAGTACGAGGTACTGCTGGGACAGGAAGCCCTCTGTCAGCCCGGGCTGCTGCTTTGCCGGCTTGCTTTTGCGAGTTATTACAACAGTACTTAAGGCCTTTTTAAGCAAGCGTTGCTTTTGAAATAGACACTATCAGCATTCACTTAAAAAAAAAGATTTATTTATTTGATAGGTAGAGTTACAGAGAGGAAGAGAGAGGTCTTCTATCCACTGGTTCATTCCCCAAATGGTCACAACATTTGGAGCTGGGCCAGTAGGAGTAGAAGTTTCTTCCAGGTCTCCCACGTAGGTGCAGGGACCCAAGCACTTGGGCCATCTTCTGCTGCTTTCCCAGGTGCACTAGCAGAGAGCTGGATTAGAAGTGGAGCAGCCCATATGGGGTGCTGGCACCAGAGGTGGGGGCTTTACCTGCTACGCCACAGTGCTAGCTCCCAGCATTCACTTCTGAACATTACAGCTCAGAATTACTCCAGCAAGTTGGGGATACTGCCTCTTCTGCAGTGTTCTGGGGCTTCACAGATCTTTTTATCAACGACAACACCACATTTGAAGAGGTGCTCATTCAGAGCACCCCAACACCCCATTTCAAATTTCAGATCTGGTGGTTTCCTGCCGGCTTCTGTTGGGCGGAGGGGGGGCGGGGGGGGGCAAATTGCAGCTTCCTTTCCCCTGGCGTGTACAGCCCTAGGCTAACCAGGATGAAAAGTCATAGAGGGGTCTGAAGCTGGAGCAAAGGAGAGCATTGTCTCCTGCAGTGGGGCTGTCTTCCCAGCAACCAGAGTAAATGATGACCAGCACAGGACAAAATCAACAGGATTGCAAAAGGACTGATTCGGGAAAAAACAGCAGCCTTGCCCAGAACAAGTTATCAGAAGGGATCAAAACACAGCTTGTTTTTCTGCAGTGATAGCCATCCACTCCCAGTACATACGCTACCTGTCAAAACAAAGCTGTTCACTCCAAGGACATCTGGGCCCTTCATTCTAGGGAAATGAGACCCAAGGCCTGTCCTGGCTCTCAGGTGATTTGTGGAGGAACTGAGAATGCAAAATGCGCCCCCCCCAGGTGTGTGGGACACAGGCACCCTGCAGCTGCAGAGACAGCAGGACTTGGCTGTCAGGTGCAGTGGGGACAGCCCCCCCCCCCGGCTCGGAGTGGGGGCCAGGCAGGAAGTTCAGTCGGTCAAAGCCAAGCAACTCCAAGTATAAAAACAACCAGATGCAGGCACTATATTTAGCCCTCGAACTGCCTCTGTGTGGCAGCGAGCCAGGGGCTGACGTGCTCTGAGCCTCACAGCGAGCGGGGTGGGGTCCTGTGCTCCCACCCCCCAGCCCACCATGCTTGCACGGGGACTTTTCTGCAGGCCCAGGAATGGGAATTCCCAGAGCACCCGAGGGAAAACAAAGCTGAGCCTCAGGCGTGGTAGACTGAACCATTGTTCAGGGTCCCTGTGCCGAGGGGCTCCCCTTCGTGGGAAGTGGTGACCAATTGACCACTCGTTACTGCACTGGGGCCATGCATTGTCACTGCCTTCCTGCACCTGGACTTGGAGCATCCACGTTGCCAATAGAGACCCAAGACAGCAATGCTGTCTGTCGAGACTGTGTGTGTGTGTGTGTGTGTGTGTGTCTAGGTATCTGTGTCTGTGCCTGTGTCTGTGTGTGTGGCTCTGTGTGACTGTGTCTGTGTATGTCTGTGTATGTGTGCTTGTATGTGTCTGTGTGTGTGTCTGTGTCTCTGTGTGTGCCTGTGTGTATCTGTGTCTGTGTATGTCTGTGTGTCTGTGTGTGTGCATGTCTGTGTGTGTCTGTGTATGTGTGTGTGTCTGTGTGTGTACATCTGTGTGTGCATCTCTGTGTGTCTGTGCTTCTCTGTGTATGCATCTCTGTGTGTCTGTGTATGTCTGTATCTGTGTCTGTGTGTGTCTATGTGTATCTGTACTTGTGTGTGCTGTGTGTCTGGGGGGGGGGGTGGAGGGCGGGGACTCCAGGCATCTACAGGACAATGGGGCAGGCACCAAAGCCACAGAAGAGGAAATAGTCGTGCCAGCATGTTTCTCAGCCCAGAAGACTCTTCTTCCCAGCATGAACCTTTCAACTACCGTGGGGCTCTGGGTACACCAGCCCCTACCCAGTAGTCCCCCAGAAGAGCCCAGCCAATAAGGGGTCTGGGCCCTCTTAGCCCAGACTGCCAACCAAGATGCACTGTTAGATACCCCGACCACTATCATCCCCCTTTCTCCTTTGCGTTTTGTAAATGCTACATGTGGCCATTTTCAGTTTCTCAGTTTGCTTAAGTCACCTGCAATTCCATTTGCAATGCATGCTGTTATATAGAGGCTAAGAGCATGGGCTGTAGAGTCAGGCTCTGGCTGCAAAGCCAACTTCTGCCATTCACAAATGTGTGACCCCAGGCAGGCTGCTTGTCTCAGTTTATCTATAAGGTGGGGATGATAATAGTTCTCATCTCTTAAGGTTGGTGGGAGGTATATCAGTCAGCTTTCCTACAGTAACACACTACACCGAAATCTCTGTTCTACAGTAAGAGCATTTATTTCTGCGCATGTCCCATGGGACTACACGGCCGTAGGTGAGCCTGGGGGCTCTGCTCATATGTCTTCTCATCCTGGGTTCTAGACTGAAGGAACAGCCTGACTGGGGACATGCTATCCTGGAGGCAGTGGGAACAAGCAAAGCTGGCAGGAACACAGGACTCATAGCTCCTTCTGAGACACGTTGTGCCTTGCACCTGCTCATGTGCAGGTCATGGCCAATGCAAGTCACACCGTCAAGTCAACATCAGCAGGCTGGGCATGGAGCTCACGAGGAGGCCCTGTGAGTCACACCACGATAGGCAGGGATGGAACATCAGAGAAGGGTGGAGCAAAGTGTCCAGGAACAATCACACCACAGGACTATTAGAGAAGAGCCCCCAAGTACTTCCAACAGTGCCTGGCACACAGCAAGCACCCAGAGTTAACTATGATGCTAGCGTACACATCCAGGGTATGGAACCCTGCTGCTTCTCTCTTCTTCTCTGGTCCTTCTCTTCCTTCTCCTCCCCCTTGATCCCCTTTTATGGCTATTGCTTCTCAGTCTTAATCTCTCCCTCTGTTCATTCTGGGACACCTATACCCCTTTATCCTTTCATCTTTCCCATTTTAAAACTGCATCGGGGGCGGCACTGTGGCATAGCGGGTAAATGCAATGCCAGCATCCCATATGGGCGCTGGTTCGTGTCCCGGCTGCTTCATTTCCGATCCAGCTCCTGCTATGGCCTGGGAAAGCAGTAGAAGATGGCCCAAGTCCTTGGGTCCCTGCACCTACATGGGAGACCCAGAAGAAGCTCCTGGCTCCTGGCTTTGGATTGAACCAGTGGATGGAAGACCTCTCTCTCTCTCTCTCTCTGTAACTCTGCCTTTCAAATAAATAAATCTTTTTTAAAAAATAAAATCGTATCAGTCTTTACCCGATTCTATTTCTACGTATCTCTAGACCAACTGGTTTCAGGTGCGGAGAAATGGATAACCCACCTTTACGTGGGACTCGGACAAGGGTTTCTGTTCGCTTATGACTATCTTATTAATAAAGTATATGTTTTGAAGAAAATAAACTCTTTTCAATGCAGTGCAAACAGTCCTAGCAGGTCACTGCTCTTGAAACTTTTCCTAAGGCATTTCTGGCCATCGCCCTTCCTCCCCAGCCTCTCCATCCACCACCATCAAGATCCTACAACATCATAACAATGGTTCACAATTCTTAAATGCTATGCGTTGTGCCAAGTACCTCACATTGTCTCATTTGATTTTTACAGCAGTCCGTGCGTTCCCTGGGTTATTGGCTTGACCTTCCTGGTTCAGACCTCGTCCAGCCTCTTGCTCGGCCGTCTGCGGAAGCTGCTCGCTGCAGAACACAAAGCCGCAGCCTGAGAGTTTGAACCTTTCGTCTACTTGGTCTCCCCCTCTTCCCTCATTTTACAGATCTGCAGGACTCAGACAATCCCCTGCCTCACCAGACCATAGTAAAGATGAAAGACCAGAGGACAGGTGTGAAAGCACTTTGTAAACAAGTCATCTTCCATGTTCATTCATTCAGCAAACATTCACCGAGTGCCTGCTACCTGCTAAGCACTGTCTTTAGCACTAAGGGTACAGCAAAGAGCCAAAGAGACAGACCAGGAGAGGCATTGTGGGCCACTGCAAAGTTGCTGGCTTTTGCGCCAACAAGACTAAGAGGGCTCTAGGAGATTTTGGACAAATTAACGGTGTAACTTGGGTTTTAAGAGGATCACTCTGGGGCCGTAAGCACATCAGTAGACAGTGAAATTATCCAGACAGGAGGTGGTGGCGGCTTCTAGCACAGCTGTTCAAAGTGGCTTGATTCTGAATATATTTTCAAGACAGCCAATAGAATTTTCAAATGGATTGGATGTGGGTTTGGGTGAAACAGAAGAAAAAATTTAAAAAAATCAGGGCCCACAATGCCATCAAAGTATTTGACTCGAGCAACTGAAAAAAAAAATGGGGTTGTCACCAATTTCTGGGAGGAGGCCAAGTGAGTCATTAGGAGTTCATTTTGGGGTATGGTGGGTTTGGGGTGTCCATTACACATGCATATGGCGCCCTGGACTGGATTTCAGTAATATCTGCCTCCAGGATCAGTGTGGGGTCACCCAGGCGAGGGTCTTCAACACATCCAGTTGGTGGATGCTGGCCGACAGGAGGAGGGGACCCCCAGGAGCAGGAAGCGGACCCATGAGGGAGCATGGCTGGGCGGCTGCCTGCAGCGGGGAGCCTGTGAGGTGAGGGGAGCGGCAGACAGGACATTAGTGTGTGTGTGGGGGGGGGACGCCAGGGCTCTGTCCGTCCCAGGCCACACGCAGCGCGGCCTGGGCCCGGTCTTCTCCGAGCCCTGGTTTCCAGAGGAGGGAAACCCAGCATGGCCATTCTTCTGTCGCAGAGGCTCATGGGAGCTCTGCTCAGGCGACCCACAGGGCGGTTCGGGGACACCCCGAGGCACTGTGGTGTGCGGGGCGTCACCGGACGCCGGCTGAGGAGCGAGAGCCGTGGCGGGGAGCGGGGGGCGTACGGGGGTCCGAACACCCACAGGCAGAAAGGCAGGGAGCGCCGGCGGGTGGGCCGGTACCATAGAGGGGCGCTCCTCCAGGTGGCTAGAGCGCCCGCGGCGGGCGAGCGGCGCGGCCCGCACTTCCGGCGGCGCGAGGGGCGCGCGGCGAGCGAGGGCGGCGGCGGCGGCGGCGGGCCCGGCGCGGTGAGTGGGCCCGAGGCGCGGGCGCGGGGCGCGGGGGGGCGGCGCGGGCGCGGGCAGGCGGCCTCCGAGCTGGGGCCTGCTGGCCTGACGGGGGGCGGGCGGGCAGGGGCGGGCCCCGCCGCGGCCGCGGAGAGAGGCCTTCCCGGCGCGGCCCCCAGGCCCGAGAGCGCCCGGCGGGCCTGGCCGCTGGTTGCGGGGTGCGCGGAGGCGCTGCGGGGTGCGTCCGAGCTGGTTGCCGATAACGCTCAAACTTCCAGCTCCCCGGGGGGATGCGCCACCAAAGGGATCCCCGAGGCCCCTGCCCGGGAGCGGCCTGGCTTGGGGGATGAGCGGCTCCTGTCACTCAAATTGACCTTTGCCCTCGCGCGCACCTGCTGGCAGAGCCCCCGGGCCCGCAGCGCCAGGGCGGGAGTGGGCAGCCGGGGCCGCGGACAAAGCTGCCGCCGCCTACGAGGGGTTGGGGGCACCTGCGTGGTCTCAGCTCTGAGCGGAGGTGATGGCGCGGAGCTAGCCCAAGGCAGCACAATAGGACGTTTAAGTCTCAGAGTTGCCACCCAGATCCGACTTGGGTAGTTAAAAAAAAAAAAAATGCACGCGCCTTTAAAAAAATAGGTAATTCCCATTATGGGTGTTTGTTGACCACCAACAGCATGTGCCTAACACAATGCCTCCTTTGCAGTTCCTGTTTTATAAATATTTGCCCGGATTAAGGACTTAGCTGTTACGGAGCAGTTTGGTCTTTCTGCATCACGTGTTGTTGTTCAATGTCCCGATGAAATCCTGGGCACTGTTAGCCTCAGAGATCTCAGTTACACAGTCACGTGAGGGAAAGGTAAAGAGAAATGATTGTCATGTGTCTTTTCCTGTGTCTGTATGCCTAGAAACCCGGGGTAATTAGTCCCTTTTTAAAGTCTTCTTTCAGGCACAGGATTTGGGACATAATGACGGTGTTACTTTGGCAGTCACAGCCTCTCCCACATTGCCACCTATTTGGAGTTGTGGGTCTTTGGTTGTTTGCCTGGGCTATTTTAAACAGCCTCAGGACAACCTTCTAAGTAAATACTTGAAGCTTTTTTGCAGCATGTGGGTATTTTAAGAATCTCATCCTATTTTTACATGTAAATTTACTTTTGCCACTTCTCCTTTTCTTGAGTTCTTCTCAACTCCGTTTTTATTCCTCTATCAGGTAAAAGTGAAACTTTTCTTTCTCTTTCTTGAAGCACTCTTTGTTTCAAGAACCGTCCTCTTTCTGGATCATTAGACTCTAGGAATAAAGTAATAACAAAGGCCCGCGTCGCTGGCAAGTTCTCATCTAGTACGTGTTTATCATAGCTAGACTCGAAGTTAATCTACCACTTCTTATTGAGTACTTTTTACATTCAGCATGATTTATGTCACAGAGTTAGAGCCGCGTTGCCATCAACAGCTGTGGAAGTACAATGGCTAAACAAATGGGAATAAGCAGGAATGAATATATCATAAAGTGGGTACTTTGTCATTTCATTCTGTTTGGAAACCTTAGAGAGTCAGGGGAGTAGATTAAAAAATTATTTATTTATTTGAAAGAGCTACACAGAGAGAGAGAGAGAGAGAGAGAGAGGGTCTTCCATCCATCCGCTGGTTCACTCCCCAGTTCCCAGTTGGCCTCAATGGCCGGAACTGTGCCAATCCGAAGCCAGGAGCCGGGAGCTTCTTCCGGGTCTCCCACCTGGGTGCAGGGGCCCAAGGACTTGGGTCATCATCCACTGCTTTCCCAGGCCACAGCAGAGAGCTGGATCAGACGTGGAGCAGCCAGGACTCAGCAGCACCCATATGGGATGGTGGCACTGGAGGGAGCAGCTTTATCCGCTATAGCGCTGGCCCCAGGGAGTAGGTAGTACAATGTAATGATATTTTGTTTCACAAACTTTGTTGTCTTCTGGAATGATTTCGTCTATTCTTTTAAGGTGTTATCTTGTATCCACTTTTTAATCCTTCAAAATGATACATTTATATGCTAATGGCTAAAAATTCTATCTCATCACCTCACTTTTTTTAGTTCTGTTTCAAAAGACAAACATTCTAAAAGTAAATTCAGTCAACATGAGATGATGTTTATTATCCAGAGTTGTTTTGCATGTATTTCTACATCTGGTTTTTTTCCCCTCTTTGTTTTCATCAGTACCAAATACATTTTTATTTTAAACATGGTTGTGATTTGGTGGCTTGAAGAGATCTTAAATTGAATAATTAATAAGATTTGTATTTGTATTTTTTTTCTCTACCTGCAGAAAGTTCTGTGTCGCTCTAGGAAATGAAGCATTAGTTTAGAAGAGGACCGTAAACTTCCTTCTGATTGCATCTGGCTGTTCACCATGAAGTTAGGAAACCTAAGGCGGGGCATTTCTCGGAGCTCAAGCCAGGGAAAAGCCTATGAGAACAAGCGCAAAACAGGCCAGCAGCGGCAGAGATGGGGGGATGACCATTCGTTTCGACTCAGGCTTGAGTAGACCTGAGGAGAAGCCTGGATGAGAAACCCTACAAATGCACTGAATGTGAAAAGAGTTTCAGTCAGAGTTCAACTCTTTTTCAACACCAGAAGATCCACACTGGAAAGAAATCTCACAAATGTGCCGACTGCGGGAACGAGTTTCTTTCAGAGTTCCAATCTCATCCAGCATCGACGGATCCACACTGGGGAGAAGCCCTATAAGTGTGATGAGTGCGGAGAAAGGTTCAAGCAGAGCTCCAACCTCATTCAGCACCAGAGGATTCACACCGGGGAAAAGCCCCCTACCAGTGTGATGAGTGTGGCCGATGTTTCAGCCAGAGTTCTCACCTTATTCAGCACCAGAGAACGCACACCGGGGAGAAACCCTACCAGTGCAGTGAGTGCGGCAAATGCTTCAGCCAGAGTCTCACCTGCGGCAGCACATGAAGGTGCACAAAGAGGAGAAGCCTCGGAAGACCCGGGGCAGAAATATCAGGGCAAAGACGCACGTGGTGTCCTCCTGGAAAGCCGGCACAGGAGGAAGTCGGTGGCCGGCCTCCGCTAAGCAGAGGGCACTGCCTCAGCCCTCTTTACAAAAAGATACATGCTGTGAAGGCTGGAGATGCTTTATAGTGGAGCATGTAGTGCTGGATCCTTTCTCGGAAGACAGATAATAGGAAGTTAATGACTTTATTGGGATAAAGAAACTACACGAGCCTAGATGCCCTTGTTTCTCTTGTCTGTGTGACGTGGAGCAGAAAGAATATAAAAGTATGCTGTGAGGGAATGGAAGCCTTCTTGACCTCATGAAATTGCTTCCTGCTTCACTTTAACAAAAACCCATCATGCTTAATGACACGTTTGTGAAAGCACAGGCACGCCAGGCGTTACTCAAGTTTTAGGACTTCCTGTGGAAGAAATTTACTTAGGAGGGAGAAGAATTTCTGTTGGCTTTGAAGTTCTCAACGAATGAGGGGATTTTATGTTGTAAAGTTTTGTAGTATATTAACCATTGGTTGTGAATGTGACTCTATTCAACATGTTAGAATCTATTCATGTTCACAGATTCTGAATCAACAGGGCCATTGTTGCTAGCATTCTTAGGTTTTTTTCCCCTTCTGCTTATGGCCAGTTACGAATTGCTTTTCACCAAAATCTTCGTAAGAGATACCGTGGAGTCTAAAGTAAGAACTGAATTAGACCGCAGGTGTATTCCTGCTAATAAGTTCTGTGTGATGGTGTTACTGCCATGTCACTTGTTTTCCAGAAGGTGGGGTGAATGTATGATGATCCATTCCAATATTGATGATCACTTTTGCCCAACTGAACCAGCGCTTTAGAGCTACAGGAATAAACGATTAAGAACAGACTTAGCTTTTCTCTTGCTAATTAAAAACCTACAGTGTATATGCCTCACCATGTTCAAGAGTGTAAACTTTAGATTTAGCTTAAGTGTTTGTGAACAACCTAAGTCATTTAATGTTAGTGTCATTGTATTGTAGCTCCTTGGACATTTAACTTCCTCTGCATTACAGGTTAAGGCTCGTAAACCTGTAACTTCTGTCAGAGCGGTGCCAGTTGTCGGTTACCCTGATCAGCCTTCAGCTCAGGTTTTAATTTCTATTGAATACTAACATTCTTACACTTTTTTTGGTATCTTTTATAATCATGTCAGTTTCTGCTATACTAATGACAGTTATCCATAGAAATAAAAAATGAAGTATTTTGCATACTACTGCCTTCTCTTTTTTTCCTGGGAAATTGTAGTGATCTAGACAACTGATACAAGTTTAAAGACCGAAAAAGCACAGCTTTTGATATAATTGCTTGTTTTGTCTGTTTTTTTATTTGCTCGAATTTGAACTTTGCCTCCTCTTCAGCCTTGTGTTGAGTGCAGGTTCATAGAGTATGGCCTTGTTGACAGCAGTTTCACCCAGTGGGAATATCCAGAGTGTTCTGTGAGGGATTACAGACAACGTTTATAGTAGACTTGATCTTTGATCTGCCTGTTAGAGCCAAGTCACTCTGTGGCAGGGGCATGGCTGTAGGGCCCTTCTGAGGACCTGTGAGTATTGTTTTAGTATTGTATCTGGAGTAACTTCTGGCTAGGACCAGGGCAGCTTGAATTTCATGAATTTGCTATTTTGATAGCAACCACAGGGTCCTGCAACAGAAGGTCCTCTGTATTGTGAGATTTCATAGTTGACCTTTCTATCTTTGACAGACTTACATATCCTCTATAAAAGTAAAGCTGATACTCTTTAGATTTTAATGTATTCTCAGTTTTACTTGAATTGCATTTTGGGAATAAATGAGTAATGTTTATGGTAATTAACATGTGGTACCAAAGCCTTATGCTTCTTTTATGAGCATTTTATGAGATAGAAAAATAACAGCTGCTTAAAATTAATAAAGTTCCACTGTTGGAAACGTTAGTAGGTGTCACCTCCTTGAATGGAAATGTGC